AGAGATGTTGTTTCTTTCACGATGTATACCATGTTATATACAATATCAAATAAAGAAATGATGCTTTCCTATGAGGGGAAACCCCCCCAAAAAAAAAAAAATTATTTTTTGTTTATTTATAAACTTTAAATATATTTTTATTAATTTGATAAAAAATATAATAAAAAATATTTTTATTTATATTTTTAATTTAATATCTTTTAAACCTATAAAGCTTATTTTGAAACAAGTAAAATTTTTATAACAAATTTTTAAAATTCAAATTAATATAATTTTTTTATCAAGTCAAAATTTAAAATTTTTATTAAAAAAATTTTTATTTGCTTTAAAATAAACTTTATGAATTTAAAAGATATATAATTAGAAATATAAGTAAAGTTATTCTTTATTATATTTTTTATTAAATTAAAAAAATATTTAAAGTTTATAATATAAATAAATAAAGAATAAATCTTTGAAATTTATATTCAATTATTAATAAAAAAATTTATATATAAAATTTGTATGAAAAATAATTATATACGATCTATTATTTTTAAATTTATATAAAATTTTATTTAAATTGAGTCACTGTATAAGTTATTGAGAAAATGTAATTTTATTTAGTTATATTGCAATAGTTATATGCGATATGCTGGAATTCAGTTTTGAAATTCCTGTCCGCACCCAATTAAGAAAGGCCTCACTTAAACAAAAAAAAAAAAAGAAAATTCCTGTCCACGTTCAGAAAGAGTTACCCATATATGGTTATACCACTAAGGAGTTCGGTCCAAATGCAGAGCAAGCTTTTAACTAAAAAAAAAAAACAATTCAAAATGCGCTTAAATAATAATTAAATCTATCCATTGATTCATATTATTCATGTTATTCATATTATCTGTATTCAAATCCAGGTCGTGTTGATAGTCCAGACTTTGTTTTTTTTGAAAAAAAAACTTAACCCGAAACTCCGATAATTCCGAGTGAAATCAATGAATTAGAACATCGATTGTGAATGCACTATGCTAACAAAACACATAAAAACTTGCGAAGTCTTTCAGTCAAAATCAAAATCAAAAAGATGAACTGTTGTTTCTGCATAAACTTGAAAGCTGGAGTCGTCATCATATCTATATTTGGGGTTGTATGTATGCCTTATTATTGCCTCTCTAAGAGAAACTTAAATGATAAAAATCTTAAAATTTTCTGTTTCAATGTAAGGTTTACGGGATATTGGGAGCTGTTCTTAATATCATTTATTATAAAAATACCGATAGTTATTGCAAGTTTTTTTTGTATTCTATTGAAAATCCTTTCTCATTCTATATTAACTCTCGACATACTTATTCGTTTGCTTAGTAAATGACTATAAGGTACATTACCTATTCGGAGTTATTTTATTTCTTTTAATAACATTGGACTCTGCATTTGGCATTTTCGCTTTATGTTTTGCTGTATGTACTATAATCAGTTCTATTTCCTTATCCATGAAATTGTTGACTCATTCTTAATTTTTTAGAATGCTGCAAAAATTCTAAAGACATATTCAAGGACATTTTATGCCCTAATGATCCTATATGTTTGCTATGAGCTTGCTAGTCTTGGTCTTTTCGTTGGTTACAAGGACGAGATCATAGATTCGTGCAATATCAATAAAGAAGATGAAAAAACAAATTGCAATGATGCTTATAAAAATCAATTAATGATTGATATTGTTGTCCTTATGGTTACTATTATTTTATCGGTTTGTGATTTATATTTTATCTTTGCGATTTCTTTTAAAAGAAGTTATCTTTCATTAAAAATTTTTTTCTTCCTTACAGGTTTATTTTGCAATGGTTGTGGATTCATATGCTTCAAAACGTGAAATTAAAGAAACGCAACAAATAATGACGGAAAACGAGGTGGTATCATGAATAATTTTCCAAGGTACACTATGTTTAGTAGATATGCTAGAACAAAATAGCCGTCAAAAGTTGAACAAGTGCAATCATAAATATCGCTTATTCAAAAAACCTATCTAACGGTATGCTGGTTAGATTATATTGAATATTCGCAAATTTTCGTGGCCTAAATTAAGGGACTCTTTGAAGCCTGTCTTTACTCAATTTAAATTATTGTATAAAAACATTATAGTATATTTTGAAAATTAATATATTCATTACAGTATAGCGCTGACTAAAGTATCCTTCCATATATAGTACACATTACTATTTCTGATAAAAGTAGCAATTGTGTAAGTCTCGATAAATGTATAGTTACACGGCGATGGCGATCCTGTTATAAAAACCCAAATTTAAATTGTTTATAATAGGTCTTTTATATACAATAGCAACAAGTTTAATGCTAGCTTACCTATATAATATATACCTAGCTAATACTAAAAATAAATTTTAAAACAATATTGTATATGTTAAATATAACTGAGTAGTAGTTATGTTTACTTATTTAAAAAATTTAATAAAATATAAAATTAAAATTAAAAATTAAAACTATAATAAAAACTATTGAAAAAATCTATAAATTTATAACATAATGGTTAATGTTTTACAAATTAGATCACAAAATACCAGTTCAATTTCAGATGAAAACAGTTGAATTAATTTAAAAATAGTATTTGATATTATACATATATTTATATTTAATTCAAATATTTTTTAAAAATCATATTATATTTATATTACTAAGTAACAATTAATAAGTGTAAAAGTTTTAATAAAATTATTAGTAATTTCAAAAGACAGTAAACTTGAGTAATTATTATTTTAATATCAACAGAGTTAAAATTTTATTAAGATTAAAAGTGTATCCTTTTATACATATTGATTTTATACAATATAAAAATAAATATATATATAAATATATAGTGGTAATAAAAAAAAATGACATTGATATTTTTTATTATAATTTAATAAATAATAATTTAATTAAGATAAAACTTTAAATATATATATTTTATAATTTATTTAATAAATTTATTTAAAAATATTGATTTAAAGTCAAAAAAAAACTTTCAAAAAATGTATTATAAATTATATATATATATAATATAGACAGAAATTAAAATTTTACTAAAGAAAAATTTTTTAAAAAAATTAAATAAAAATAAATAAAACTTTTAAACTTATAAAAAAAATTATAAAAAACTTATTATTATATTTAATAAATATTATTAAAATTGGTTTGTTTTTTTATTATATAAAATTATTTTTAAAAAATATCTAAAACCTTTAAAAACTCTAAGTTAATATAAAATTTATGTTTTTTAGTAAAATTTAATTAAATTTTAAGTTAAGTAAATTATTAAATAATTTTTTATACTTAATAAAAAAATAATAATTATTATATTATTATCATTATAACTTTTATTTAACAAATATATACATTAAAATAATTTTAATAATTTTTCTTATTTTTATTTTGTAATGTAACTAAAATCAATTATTTTTTTTAAAAAAAATTTTAATAATATATTTTAAAAACTTTATTAAGTAAACTTGTTTTTTATACAGTCAAACCTCTTTATACCGATATTTTTTATACCGATACCTATTAAAATCTCACTATACTGATATTTTCTCAAA